GCTCTCAAATGCATAGCAGGTGATTGGAAAGACCATGGCCTGAATCAGACAAACCTTAGTCCTTTAAGTGACTTCACTACTCCTCAATAATTTGGAAAGGTCCCTAACTGCAGATTTTTCTGAGTTCGATGAGTCTCCTTATCTTCTGACTGCTAGTACCAACAGTGTCAGTTACAGAGCCAAGTAAGATAAAGCTGCTGTGAGTTGGAGCTAACTCGATGGCATCTGACCACAACATTCTTAAGATAAATTGCTAGGTACATAATTCAGTGAATGTACTGCAGAACAGTTCTTACCCTCAGAAATTCTTAGATTCTGAGAAACTTATGTACACACACATACACACTACCCATAGCAAACTTCTGTTAACATTTTAGTATATTTATTTTAACTTTTTAAATGTATATTTTAAAAATAACTTTATATATTTAATATCTCACTTTATTAATATTTTCTATAATTGATTAAAATGCTAAATTTAACATAGTTAAAGTGTAGAATTTTATAAATTTTGGTGTTTCTGTTATCATCATCATAATCAAGCTAATAAACAGATCCATCTCACAAAATTTCTTCATGGCCCTTTGTGGTCCTACCCACACTCATGACCTTCCTCCCTGCTCCCTGCCTCATCTCAGGCATTTCATGGTCTGTTTTCTATCACTGTGATAGTTAATATTGCTTGCCAACTTGACTTGGTCATGTTTCTCAGTATTGTGTAATTATCCTCCATTTAGTGACTTGATACAAGGAATATTTCTGTATGGTGTGGCTTGACAAAACTCAAGTACTCTTTTTTTTTATACAATGGAATACACCTTTTTTTTATATTGGTTTGCATGCAAATATTGTATACATTGTGTTTCACTCTTTCTTCAGTTCACATTGTTTCATATTATCATTTGCATACACTGTATTTTATAAATTTATCTTCATTGATGATGACCACTATTATCCCACCTTTTCACGTCCCCACTGGTTCTTTCCTCTTTGCTTTATTCCCTTGCTCTGCCCACCAAACTCTGGAACCCCCATTCCCACCATCAGCCCCTTTCTTTCTTCCCTCCCCTTCTGCCCCCCCCCCTTTTCTGGAAGCAGGAATGGCATCCTCTTCCTAAACAATGCCTCCGGAAACTATGAACTTTGATAACTGTGTGAGTTCTAGTTCTAGAAAGGCTTCAGGTCTTTTGTTCATAGAGTTGCTAGGAGTTGTGCCTGACTCGAAGGCAATCAGCACCTTCTCCCTTTGGACTTGTGTGCACATCTTGCTAGTAATCTTTCTGTTTTTACAGTATTGGTCTTAATGCCCACGTACTCCTTCTTGATTCCAAATCAGGCTCATAATTATCTAACCTTCAGTTTTGGGGATATGAGCCAACAGACTGCCATCAGACCTGTTGGTTTTGGGTTTACCAGCCCAGCCCCTCTGTAAAGTCATAGGTCAGGAAAAGTCTCCAGTCTGACTTCTGACAGAATTAGAACTTGGCCAGCCTCCACAACTATATAAGCCATTTGCTTGAAATAATTTTCTATTTATTTATATAGTCATGTACCACCTGACATCCATTTGTACTATGACTGATGGAGTGTGTGTGTGTGTGTGTGTGTGTGAGAGAGAGAGAGAGAGTGCGAGCGAGTGTGCTCTGGTGGTCCTCAGGGAGTTGTAGTACTAACCCAAAGGCCAAGTCTCTCTCAGGCTGTTGGAATCCATCAGTCACTCTGCAAACAACTGACAATCTCCTCCTATGTACTGTATTTTTTAATTGTGATTTTAGAAATAAGTTTATAATTGTGTTTATGCTTTGACTGTAGGCAACATCATTCAGTTTTGTGTATCACATGTCTGTTGACTATTGTAATTTCTGTGTTTTATTTCTAAAATGTCATGAAGAACATCATAGCTCCTAAATACAGTAGAATCAGTGCTAATGATAGTAGAAACAAGAGGCAAAGGAGAAATATGGTTTGGAAGTGAAACAAGAGGTTCTTAAACAATACAGTGGTAAACACTGTTACTCCCAATTTGGGTATATGCCCATAATGTCCAGTTTCACAATGTCCTGTTTCATGGATATTGATCAGTACATGACTGTATACACTTAACTGGCTTAGCTTCTTTAGAGAACACAGCCTATGGTAGTAGCTACTATCGATTATATATGGAATCTGGTGGTATGAGGGTTAAGTGATTGGTTGCTAAATGAAATATCAGTGGGAGAAAAGACCTGATCATTTGCACCCATAAAGATTTCAGCCTAGGAAACTTGTGTAGTCTTACAGGGTTGTCATGAGTTAGAATTCACTTAATGATACACAGCGGTATAGTTTGTGTTGCCTAGAATTTGATGTGTATGTGTATATGTGTTTTAATATGAAATGATGTAGTTTTGTAATTATATACTTAGCATTATTTAGGATGACTGCACCTTTTTCTCATCTTTATCACCATGTGTATTTCTTCACTGAGCTGTTTCACTTCATATTCACATGTTGTTTGCTTGGTGCAGGTAGACATTTTATTTGTTAACATGTTTTTTGTACTTGTTAAAATGTTACCACCTTGTGCTATTTTCTTTTACAATTTAAAGTAGTTTTATACAGAGAGAAGTTTTAACATTTTTGAATGTTGTCCTCGTTGTTATGTGCGGTCTAGTCGTTTGCGACTCATAGCAACCCTATGTACAATAGCCCTAAACTCTGCTCTGTCCTGTGGCCAATCACACTGTCTCTGACACTCCCATCCCGATTACCCCAGTCACCGAATCAATCTTCCTCATAGAGGGCCTTCCACTCCTGCGCTGTCCCGCAACCCTCCCAAGCGTGATATCCTTCTCCAAGGACCGGTCTCTCCTTAAAACATGTCCAGAGTATGTTAGACGGAGCCTCAGAATCCTTGTTTGTTTTCCTAGCAGTCCATGATACTCTCAATACTCTTTTCCAGCACCACTGCTCAAAGCATCAATTCTCCTTCTATCCTCCTCGGTCATTGTCCAACTCTCTGATGCATAACAAGTGATTGCAAAGACAATGGCCTGTATCAGATGCACCTTAGTCTCCAGAGAGACACCGTTGCTCTTCAGTACTTCGGAGAGGTCCCTAACAGCAGACTTTCCCATGGCAATATGCCTTTTCATTTCCTGGCTACTGGTGCCAAGAGTGTTGACTGTGGAGCCAAGCAAACTAAAGCTGTGAAGAGTCTAAATCTCTTCAACATCCATCCTGATGCTGCCAATTGGCCCAGTGGTGAGAATTTTTGTCTTCTTGACATTGAACCTCAATCCATATTGGAGGCTGCAGTCCTTGACCCTCTGCAGCAAGCGCGTCAGGTCCTCCTCAGTTTCAGGAAGCAGGGTTGTGTCATCTACATAACGCAGATTGTTGATAGATCTTCCACCACTCTTGACCCCACATTTCTCCTCATAGAGCCCAGCCATGCAATCTAGATGCATTGATAATAATGGGTGACTGGAATGCAAAAGTTGAGAACAGAGTATTTGGAAAACATGGACTTGGTGACAGAAATGGAGCTGGAGAGAGAATGACTGGATTTTGCACAATCAATGACTTATTCATAGCAAATACGTTTTTTAAGAGACATAAACACAGGTTATATACATAGATTTCACCTGATGGTATGCATAGGAATCAGATTGATTACATCTGTGGAAAGAACCGCTGGAGAAGCTCAATATCAGTGCGAAAACTAGGCCAGGAGCTGATTGTGGAACAGACCACCAACTTCTCATTTGCAAGTTCAAGCTGAAGTTGAGGAAAATTAAACCAAATCCACGACAACTGAAATATGACTTTGAGTCTATCCCACCTGAATTTCAGAACCATCTCAGGAACAGGTTTGAGACCTTGAACACTAATGAGCAGAGACCACACGAGCTGTGGGAGGATATCAAGGGTATCATCCAGGAATAGTACAAACGGTCCTTGCAAAGACAGAAGAGGAAAAGAAGACCAAAATGCATGTCAGAAGAGACTCTGAAAATTGCACTGGAGTGCAGAGAAGCCAAAGCACAAGGAAGAATTCAAGATACTAAAGAGCTGAACAGAAGATTCCAAAGGGCAGCCCGGGATGACAAAGTAAAATATTACAATGAAATGTGCAACAAGTTGGAGTCAGAAAATCAAAAGGGCCGAACTCGCTCAGCATTTCTTAAGCTCAAGGAACTGAAGAACAAATTCAACCTCAAGTTGCTATAATGAAGGATGCTTTCAGCAGAATATTAAATGATTCAGGAAGTATTAAAAGAAGATGGAAAGAATATACTGAGTCACTGTATCAAAAAGAATTGGCAGACACAGAAGAATTTCATGGAACAACATATGAGCAAGAGCCTATGGTGATGAAAGAAGTTCAGGCTGCTTTGAAGGAAATGGCAAAAAATAAGGCCCTGGGAATAGATGGTATACCAATTGATATATGTCAGCATTTTTGAATAGTGAAGTTTTTTTAAGATTTTCCTTTAGATGAGATAGGATATATAGAATGAGTGAAGAATTACAGATTTCTTTCTTACTGCCTTTATTCATGGAAAGGAGGCTTGATGTTAGTCAGTGTGTGACTTAACTGGTAACTGAAAGGTGTTCAGCCACTTTGTGAAAGGGAGAGAGATGAGGCTTTCTCTTGTAAAGATTTATAGTCTCTGAACTTGCTGGAAGTTCAAGCTGATTTAATGGCAGTGAGTTTGGTTTTTGGTTTTGGTTTCTGCATTGAAAGTTTGAAATGTGTATATCAGGAAAAGATAAAGGCAGTGATTGCCTCTGTTAAGTTGATTAAATGTTTTTTTTCTTGACCACTGTGACTTATTCATTGGTAAACATTGCTTATAACTTGCTGAGCATTTACTATTTTTATTGACAAATGACCTAATTTAGGATGATTACAGAAATTGGTAGGTTCGAATGGTTATGTATGGGTACATTTTGATTGTCAGCTTGCTCATGTTACAGGCGGATCTAACATTTGCACATTCTTCATATTTTTTTAGGTCTGCTCAGCTTTGGAGAGGAGCTACAGAACAGCCTCACTGTATAAGGCATGGGATCAGAGAACAGTGCTTTAAAAAGTTATACACTGAAAGAACCACCATTCACCTTACCTTCTGGAGTTGCGGTTTATCCAGCTGTCCTGCAAGATGGCAAATTTGCTTCAGTGTTTGTGTATAAGAGAGAAAATGAAGACAAAGTTAATAAAGCAGCCAAGGTAACAAAATAGGTGACTATAATTCGTATATTTTACCATCGTGTTTTCTTCTATTTAAAATTGCCTCTGAAAACTCACTATGGGTTGTTCAGACTCAATGGCGCACAATAACAACATCAGCATTGCTTAATTTTAAGAAAACTTAAGTGGATATTTTTGGGTTTAATTTTTAAAGATGATTTTAAAGATTATTTCAGAGAAGTACTTTCAGGGGTTCATCAGCCTCTATGGTTCCATACAGTCTAGAGTCCTACCCTTCTCCCCTTTTCATTCTTTATTATTTAGCAAGAAATTAAGGGAGACAGACATGGCTTATACATGAAGGGTTAAGGTAGTTCAGCTACATTGTGATTAAAAATGATAGAAGGATTAACAACATTCTGAGTAGTGTGTTGGACATGAGAATAAAAATAATAGATCTTAGGAACTTAAAACTTTTTTTTTCTTTTCCTGAGACATTATGATGCTCTAAAAGGAATGCTTGCCTGGGAACCAAGGACCCTTGGGCTCTGGTTCTTGTTGGGGCACCTTTGACAGATTTAGGTGCTGTGGAGTTGAGTATGACTCATAGCAACCCTATGAACAATAAATAGATCTGAACCCTGTCCTGTCCTTTGTTGTCCTCACAATCTCTGACACACTCTAGCCCATTGCTGCAGTTACTATGTCAGTCTACCTGGTTGAGGATCTTTCTCTCCTTTGCCATCCCTCTACCTTCCCAAGCACGATATCCTTCTCCAAGGAGTAGCCTCTCCTAGCAACATACCCAAAGGATGTGAGATGAAGCCTCCCCATCTTTGCCTCCAAGGAGCACTCGGGCTGCACCTTCTCCAACATCCTGTCAACACTCTATGAACAATAGAAGACCATAGTGACAGGTCATAAGCTTTGGCAAAAGGACCTTCTAGCTGCCATCATTTAATTGCTTTCAGCAGAAAAATTCAGATATAAACTTTGGCCACAAAGCAGTGTAAGAAATAGTTGACATTCAGCAGACCTTTTGTTTTATCTTCAGCCCAATAACTATAAACAGTAGCATACTTTTCTTGTTCATGAGTTAGGATGACTTGTTTCTAACCAGAATTTATTAGTAATGGAAAATCTCAGAATCTGGTTCCTGTGTGCTATGATTCAGGTGTTAATTTTGGGCTTCATGACAAGTAGAAACTTGCAAGAACGATTCCTTAGTTTCTATACCGCCTAGTATTCTGGGAATAGGTATATAGATGGTACACAGATCACTGCTCACTGTCTCCCAGGATTCAGTCTCCTCTGCAGGAAGGTTTAGGTTTCTGTGTAGGAGGGTTGGTCAGCATACTGGCGAACCTGCATGTGTGAGCATGCCACAAAAATCGAAGCCGTGATTGCCATATTCAGTGTGCATTCTATTTATACTGTTGTTCCTCATATTGTCATTTTCTTTTTGTTTTGCTCCCTCCTAAACATTTCCCATTTACAACTCTTGTTTATTGTATTAATCAACTTTCATACATTCTCAACTGTTTTAGAATTGCTGTGTTATTTCCCTAATGACTAAATGATATTGATCATCATTTTCATGTGCTTGTTGGCTATTTCAAATCATTGACCAGTTTTTTTAACTAGATGTCTTTTTGTTTCATTGTTGAAATTTTATGTGTCTTTTATAGTTGTTGGGCGCATAGCTGATAGCTGATTCCTTCAGATTCTCTCCCACTTGTAGGTTCTCCTTTTTTGTTTTCAGAACACAACAGAACTCTTCACTCCTTCTTCATTCTGTATTTCATTCTTGTTTATGGTTCAACCTCCAGGCAGTGGGTTTTGACAAATTTTACTTCTCTCTGTGTCTCAGATTTGCCTGCTAGGCTGAGAAAGAAGATTTCTCTGATCTGTACCCTACCTTAGATACCTCGGTTATTGTGTTTTATTTGGTGAAATTTATTACTTTATTCACTGTCATCTATAAGCTTGTAAGTGGATTCAAGTTATAGATGGGAGTATTGAGAAACTTACTGTTTTGGTTTATTTTTAATTCTCAAATTCCATAGTAAATGAGAGATAGAACAACAATTAAAAGTTAAATCTCAAAGGCTTGAATTAATTCTTTAGATAGGTGATTCATAACTGATTCCTGAAAAATGGGATAGTTTCTATTCAGGGCGGGAATCTCATGATCTCTGAGTGAGCACATAAGCTCTCATTGCTGGAGCCAGCTCGTAGCTGATTCTCCAGCGGGTTTTTTGAGGCTGTCAGTGACATGAGAGGAGATTGCCCGTCTTTCTTCAGTGGAGCCGCTGGTGGAGTTGAACCTCCACAGAGGTGCTCTTTGTGGAGTAACAGCCCAAGTCCATACGGACTATGCCACCAGAGCTCCCTTTGTGTGGACACAGATAAATGTTTATTTTATACTACTGTTCTGTCAATTTTATTTATATATGTTGTTGAGAATACATACCACAGAACATAAACCATTGATTAAAAATGACATTATATTCTTCCACTTGTACAGCCATTCTTAACCTCCTCAGATTGGTTCCTTTTTAATTAACATACATTCGCTGTCTCCTAAGGCTCCTGTTATTGGTTTGAACTGGTATTTTGATTGTAAAAGAACATAGTGTTCAAAGCAGACCTTTTTGACTAGTTAGGCTAAGGTATTTTTTTATTTTTAAGAAGACTTCATGAGATAATTTTGGTTTAAAGAAGGAATGAAATGCATTAGGTAAATTTACTGTCAGGGACCTGTCCAGAGTACTGAGAAACAACGTTAGTCTAGAGAACAAGATGTGCCTGATCCAGGCCATGGTCTTCACAGTCACTTGATATGCATCAGAGAACTGGATGATGGTGAAGGATGACAGAAGAATTGATGCCTTTGAGCTATGGTGCTGGAGAAAAGTCTTGAACATACCATGGACTACCAAGAAAACAAATAGGTCTGGCTTAGAGAGGGTGAAGCCAAGTTTCTCCTTGGAGGCAAGGATTTTGAAGCTCTTCCTCTCCTACTTTGGACATGTAGCCAGAAGGGACTGATACTAGGAGAAGGATATCATGCTCAGAAGGGTGGAGGGAGAGTGCAAGAGAGAAAGACCCTGGATGAGATAGATTGATATAGTAACTGGGGCACTGGGGATAGGTGTGCCAAAGGCAGTGAAACTGGCTCAGGACAGGACAGTGTTCAGAGCTGCTATATATAGGGTTGCTCTGAGTTGCAGGCAAGTTGACAACACATACCAGCAACAAGGTTTTTATTGGTTCATTTTTTGAAAGTAGATGTACAAAACTTTCTTCTTAGTATTTCTTAGTTTGGAGGCTCTACAGAAATCTATTGGAATACCAGTGACTTCATTTCTAACATACAAACATCATAGCAGCAAGCAAGCCATTACAGTACAGTAAACTTACAGATGGATGTGTGTGTGTAAATACGACAATTTATAGTTCATAAATTTTTGTTCAATTTCATATTTTCTTGATTATTTATTGTTTATTGAAGTTCCCATGGAGGGGAATAGCTTCCACTTTTAAAAATAGTAATACATAATACATTATTGGTACTGTTCCCAGAGTTAGCAAAATTTGTGATTAATAAACTTAAAACATTGGGAAAGCAATCCACTCAGAAGACCCTCCTGGAACCCTCTGGCAAAATAGACTGTGTGAGGCAGACTTATATAAAAATTATGCCAAGTCTGATTTCAGAACTCTCATATCATCCACTAACCTGTATTTTTCCAAGGAGGTTCTTTGAAAGCTTTGGCACTAACTGCGTATTGTGAAAATGAGACCTGGTGTTACATTGAAGATTTTTTTTTCCTGAGTCAAATCTTCATCAGCCTTCACTCAACTTAATGATTAGGTTACAAGGCTTGTGCAGCATCCAGTGTACTGTACAGGGTGAATTCCAGGGACTTAAGGTCACAGTGTGTTCTGCAAACCAAAAGGCCATGCATTTCTGGCAGTTCAAATCCCCTAATGGCTGAGAGGGAGAGAGATGGACTGTCTCCTTCTATTAAGATTTATAGCCTTGGAGACTCAGTGGAAGGTTTATGAGTTGGAACTTATTTGACTGGACTTGATTCAACAGCAGTGAGTTTTGCGTTTAAGTCACTTTTTTTGGAAAGCCTAGGTGGATTGTTAGAAACCACTCGAGAACATTAAGGTAAGCTGTAGATAAAAGATGAAACTGTTATTATCTGGAGTAGGAATTTTGGACTGAGTATCTTTTACATTACTCAGGTTGTAATTTTCAGAATATGAAGTGTAGCTGGAAATAGAATCAACCTGAGAAGAAAACCTGCAGATTTAACCTTCCCTCCTATGTTCAGATACAGAATTGTCTTTCATTAACCTGCTAAGAATACAGAGTAAAAGGAAAGAAAGAGTATTCCTTATTACTGTTTTTATTGTTATTTGAGTCTCATTTCAGGAGTCCTTGGCTGACTCAGTTATGCTGTGGACTACTAGCTGAAAGATTAGCAGTTTGAATGCACCGAACAGTGTCTTGAAAGACTGGGAATCTGTTTCCAAAGGATCACAACCTTAAAACCCACATGGAGCATAGTGCTACTCTGAACACACATGAAAACCTCGGACTCATGTCATTTAGTCAGAACTGACTCATAGCTGACCCTCTGACTGGCTTTCTGAGGTTGTAAATCTCCTCAAGGATGGGAGGAGATTGCCCATCCTTTCCCTTTGGGACTGCTGGTGCATTTGAACCACTGGAGAGATACCACCTCTGAATGAGCAGTGTAACTTTCTATAGACTGTGCCACCAGAGCTCCCTGTGAACATCTACCCGGGATAACGAGCAGTTGTAATTTCAGGTAGTCAGACTGGAATGATGCTCCACAGGGTCTTCACTGGCTGATTTTTCAGATGTAGATTTCTGGGCCTTTTTTAAGAGATACCTTTCAATGGGAACTGATCATCTTGCCTATTTGCATTACCCAGGAAATGTCAATTAGATATAGAGCCCACTTTAGTCTTACAAAGTTAAAGGCTGTGATGGCCTAATG